CCTTTTCATGTGTTAAGATCAGTTGATCAGTGATAAATTTATTTCTTAAATTTTCACAAATTACATAAATAAACTTTTCCTGAATTGACAGTCTTTAGATTTGTATAATTTATTTTTATTCCACCTCAATGTAAACGAGTAAAAAATAACACAAGTTCTTACTTTGTAAAATACAGTAACATATTGGCTACCATAACATTACATATCTGTGTGTGTATGTATATATAACATTTTCAAATAAGTACTTCTTAAATGTCAGTTATTTTTCTTCAAACATAAAACAGTAAATTAAAAATATTTGGAAAACAATGATCACTACTACTTATGATGCTACAAAGTCTTTGTTTGCACTCATGAGCCATACTTGCTAAGCCTCATCCAAATTCATATGTGGAGATGGAAAATAATTTTTGTAGACTTTATATATGCATTTTGGAATAAAAAAATATATATAAATTACAATACCAATACTCCAAAAATCCATTAAGTTAGCTAAATTGTATTTGGGTCTAACAAAATATAATTTGTATTCACAAAATAGCCTTGATATCAATACTTCAAACTTTCCAATGATATAAAAGCATTTCTCTCGTAAATAACTTAGGAAGACTGACAGAATTATGTAGAATAAATATATAGCTTTTGATTGATTATAAAGTTGTTGGCATATAAATGTATACGTAGATAAATAAGTCTTCTCAAATGATGAAGTGGTGGGTGGAACCAATATGGTGGGTTCGCTAGATATCATGATATCTAAGCAATCAGAAAAAGTAGGAGGTTCTTATTTTATATTCTAGCTTGCCAATATCAGACATCTAAGTTTCAAATTCATATGAAACTATAGACATTGTATTGTGGGCATCATAAAACGTAATCTGATCAAACCCAAAAGGCCACGTACCACGTGACACACAAAAATCAATATTTAGCCTTTTTTTTTAATATTTAATTTTAAATTAAGAAACTAACTAATGTATAATAATTAAATTTGAATTATAACCAACAATTTGATACCAAACTTATTGACATACATTTATAAAATAATAGCTAAATAAAATGTTGAATGTAAATCTACAAATGTGATAACATGCCCTCTGACTCCTACCCTTCTTGATAGGGGTTAATACTAACAGTAATCACCTTGACTCTGTAAACAGTGATTTTTGACCTTCAGTTTATTCTGATACTCTAAACTTAAGAAGATTGGGCATTAGGTTAAACAAAATAATATTTCCCCACAGGCTTTGAAGGAGGTGAAGGATTGCATACATGAACCACTAGCTACTATTTTTGTAATTCCTTGAATAACGGCCAGGTACCAGAGGATTAGAAGTTGGCTAATGTCACTCCTCTTTTCAAGGGAAGTGATAAAAATTGTCCCTGTAGTTATATGCCCATTAGTCTTACATCAGTTGTGGGAAAAGTCTCATAAAAGATGCTTTGCAGAGCCATTTAACAAAGTTTAGAATTTTATTGGATAGTCAATATGGTTTCACTAAGGTAAAATCTTGCCTTACAAATCTTTTGACATTCTTAGAAAAGGTTAATGCTTATGTAGATGAGGGTAAGGGTGTAGATTTGATGCATCTGGATTTTCAGAAAGCATTTGATAAGGCTTATAAACAAGTTAGCAAATTGGATAGAAGAGTGACTGGATGGAAGATAGCAGAGGGTTGTTACAAATGGAGTTAATCAAACTGGATTAATTTCACAAGTGGGATACCACAGGGCTCAGTTTTAGGACCTTTGCTCTTTTTGATTTATATCAATTACATCAATAAATTACTTAAGTTTGTAGATGATATT